GATGGTTCTACATCTTTCCAAATAAATTTGGGTTAGGTCCAAAAAAATAAAAAAAATTAAATAAAAAATCAATTTTATATGGGCTGGACAATAGCTATTGGGTTGAAAAAAAATAAGCCTAATAATATATATATATATATATAATATGTGACAAATGATCACATTTGTCCTTTTTTTATATATATTTTCTCTATAAATACACTCTCGCGTTTTTCATTCTCCTCACAACTTAATCTCTCATTCTCTCTCAATCTCGTAAACTCTTAAGTCTAAAATTCTCAATACTTGTCCTACAATATTTTTTATACTCCAAATACTTCTTAAATTTTTTACATTTCTATTGTTTTATACTACAAAAAATGACAAGTTCAAGTTCACATATTCCATCACAATAAAATAATACGCCAATCAAAATTAGGTAGTGGAGCAACACCAATAATCAAATTTTACACCTAGATCATCCGACATCTTCAAAATTCATTTCTCAAAAGTTCTTTTAGAAAAAGGCATTTTTACTGTGATTTGTAACTACTACAACAATTAATACACGTTCAAACAAGGAGGTGGTTATGGAACATTTAAAAACCATTTGGAGAAAAAGCATCCATTTGTACTTAGTAAAGAATAAACATCGGACATAAATATCCGGGTTTGCTTCTCAATCTTCTTGTTCATTTCGATATATCGATAAAAAAATAAAGAAGAAATGGCTAACATGATATGTATTAATCATTTATCTTTTAGTTTTGGTAAAAAAATGGGTTTTGGTGATTATTGTTCTAACACTTTGAATCTCGCTTTCAAACAAGTTGAAAGATATTCTTTAAAAAAATCAGTTATAAAATTTTATAAAAATAAAAAAAGAAGTAAGCTGTATTATTTACAAATTTGAATGGGCGTGTTTTTATATGTTACGATCAATGACAAACTCACTCCTTTACGGGTGTGACTTGTCATTGGATTGATAATAAATGATATATGCAAAAACGTCTTCTTGCATATAGAGTTTTTGATGATAACCATACCGCTCAAAATATATATAAGATACTAAAAAAGATTTTAGATGAATATATTTTAGCTTTAAAAATATTTTCAATTTCTTTTGATAATGCTAGTTCTAATGATGCTTCAATAGACTCTTTAAAAGAACTTTGTTAACCCCATCTTGAATGTAAGTTTTTTCATATTAGATGCGTATTTCATATTTTAAATTTATGTGTGTAATTTGGTTTGAGATATCTTAAAGATATCGTTAGGCCAATTAAAGCTCTCGCTAAATATTTATGGGCATATCCCCAAAAGATGAAATCATAGGGAAAAGTTTTGCAAAGAAAGAAATAAAAAACCAAGACGATTTTCAAAAGATGTTCTAACTCATTGGAATTCAACTTATGACTTACTTAAGCGAGTCATTTGAATATCGAGATTTATTATGCTCATTTTTTTAAGAAAATATTGATTCTGTTTTTATTTGTCAAAATGATTTTGATATTTGCGAGCCACTTTTAGAACTTTTAAGTGTTTTTAACAATGTAACATACACTTTTAGTGTCGTTTATCAACCAACTTCACATTTATTTATGATTGAAGCAATTAATATTGTTGAAGCTTTTAATCATGCGGAACAAAGTATGCCAATTTTACATAATGCTTGTTCAAATAATGAAAGAAAAATGGTTAAGTTATTATGAAACAATTTTACCTATTTATCTTGTTGCTCTAGTATTTGATCCTAGATTTAAAATGAAATGTCTTTCTCGTCGTTTTGAATACTTACTATGGGTATTTGTAATTACCCGATAGAAATATAGAATTAGAAACTACTTCTATTATAAATCGAGTTAGAGATTTATATATTGAAATGTCTTTAATCGTGGGTGATAAACATGCTAGTTCTTCCGTACCACCTATGCCACAATCATCATCAAGTAACCAACGTGTTAGAACCGGTTACCTTATGACCATGGAAAGGACAAAAAGGCCAAGAGGATCATCGGGCTCCACTTTCGAGCTTGATATTTATCTAACAACTGTGTTTGAGCTTGGTGATAACAATGCATGCGTAGATTTTAAAGTAATTGATTAGTGAAAAAGACATGCGGACACCTTTCTAGTTCCGTCCATAATAACTAGATAAATACTTGTCATGCCGACTTCAACAATAGCTATTGAAAGAGCATTTAGCTCCGGAGGTAATATTTTAGATGATAGACGATCACAATTAGCTCCCGAGTCACTTGAAGCCCAAGTATGCGTGGATGATTGGATAAGAGTCGACAAGAGAATACAAGAACAAAAAAATATGATTTCAATGAAGAAAGTATAGATCTAACACTCGACGGCACAACAACAAAAACTTCGAAGCTCGAAACTTTCGATCAAGAAAGCAACTAGGTGCAACTTACATAGGTGTAATTTCTAAATGGGTAATTTGAAATGTAAAAGAGAACTACGTAAGCTTTGATTCCTATAAACCCCAAAAGGATACGTAGGAAGCTTAATTTTTTTAGTGTTTATAAAAATTAATTTCAAGCCCTTCTTTTTTTATTTCTTTTTTCCCTTTGATTTATTGTGCAAAATATATTACAATGTAAAAAACATTATAATATTTTTAAATCATGTAAAAAAGAAGTTTTTTCGTTTCAATGTTAATGTTTGATTTATATTTGAGAAAAAATATTTGATTTTTTTTCCTCAATAAAAAAAACCGTTGAATCGTCGGTTCCGAACGGTTTAGAACCGTCGATTTTACGATTCCAAACTAGAACCATGATCGGACATAAAAGGTTTGATTCGAGTTCCACCTTTTGGTGGAACCTAAAACGATAGTTTCTAAACCGAAATCGACGATTCGGGAACCATTATCATGTTTAGTCGCAGCTTGTGGGAGCGCGAGATCTAGAGCTAGAGCCGTGATCGTGAGCGAGGGATAAGTGCGAGTCTGTCGAGCGCGGGCTCGTGGGCGTGTAGGAGGTCGCTGGCATTGTAAAAGAGGTTGGTAGCGTGGAGAGAGGGAAAGAGGTGGCTGGCGGCTAGGGTTCTTTTTTTATGGGTGAACAAGTAGTTGGGTTTTTATGAGAGAAAAGGGGGCTTTTATACTAGCTTTCTAGGATTTTTTTTGGCAAAAATCTATTTTGGTCCCTCATTTTGAAAAACCAATTTTATTTTCCTTCCTTTCTCTTTTCTTCTTCAAATGCACCCCCATTGCATTATTTTTATTTTTATTTCCTTTTTTCTTCTTTTTCTTTTTCTTTTTGGACCCAAAATTGGGTGCTAACAACTTTAATCCTTCTTTTTTAAACATTGTTTTTTTAGTTTGCAAATATTTTTGTTTCATTTTGATCTCTTTTTTTTTTTTTTCATTTTGATCATTTTTCTCCTTTCTTTTTTCTCTATTTTTTTAATTAAAAATTTTAAGGCAAAAAAATGTTTTAACAAATAATTTATAAAATAAGTTTTTAGTTAAGAATTCATTGATTTTGACATCTTTTATACTATTATAAATTTTTAGTTTGTGGATAGAGACAAATAAATAATATTTCAAAAAATTTTAAAAAATATAAAGGATAATCAATCAAATCTAAAATTTTAACTAAAAAATTAAATAAATTTTTATTTATTTTTTGATTTGATATATTTTGATATACGCATAATATAACACGTAATATCAAATTAATATATATATTTTTAATAATTTTATATGTTCTATTTGATCTGCAACGTAGCATGAGTTTTTTATTCCATGATAGATACATCCTTCTCTGTGAAAAAAATAAATTTGAGAAATTTACATTTTAGCTAGGATTTAAAGGAAATTAATAAGAGTTCCGCATCTACGTACTCTCATTAGGAATAGCTTGAGAAGGTAAATTTGTGTACAATCCTGTTAATTTATTCGTTTTAGGAAGTTATGAATGATTTTATTGGCTCGTGTGAAGAGTGAGCTAATGACATGGCAGAATAACAAAATTTATTAATTTTCAAAAACCTTAAAAAAAAAACTATTAATTTAACCTATATTTTCGCTAAAAGACTACATCTGTTTAAATAGAAATTTAAGAAAACTCTAATAATAGTAAATAGAAAAATAAAATAAAATCCTATATAGAGTTCTAATTTGCTAATAGCACTTATCTATTTAATAGAAGATAACTAAAATGAAAGTTTTTGTTTTGCGTTCTTAATAGATATTTAAAAGCTAAAATAAAAGTATTGTCATCAAGTTATATATTATTCAACTCTTATTTTTAATTGAAGTAAAGAGATTAGGGATTCAAACTATTGTTATGGAAAATAGTTTAAGAAATTTTTCGTTACAATAGAAGGTTAGAGTATTCCTCAATTTTGTAACGATTGTTGCTTTAATTTAGTTCCAATCATAATAATATAACTTACTAGAACCAATATATAATTTTGAGTATATTATAAATTATTCTTTTTATTTTTTGAAACAAATTAATTATTTTTTTAAAAAAACTAATTATTTAATCTTTTAATCAATATATAATTTATAAGTAAATTATAAATTATTCTTTTTATTTTTTAAATAAATAAATTATTTTTTTTATTTTTAAAAAATTAATTATTTAATCTCTTAATCAATATTGGGCGTACTGAATTTAATATTACATCTTATTTTGTAAAATGAGAATTTTTTTATCAATCATTTCATATGTTTTACTTTTTTTTTTTATAAAAAATCAAAATAAATTAAAAATAACAAAAAAAAAAGTTATAAGAAAATTTAAAAATATTAAAACTAAATAATTTAGTTTTAAAATAAGAGGAAATAATTAGTTCTTTTCTCCAAAGTAAAAGAACTAATTTATTATTTACTCATAATTTATCAAGGATATGACAAAATGTATCACGTGCATGAGTTAAAAAACATATGAAAAACATGATCGTCTTTCTTCCTTAATCCTGTCTATAAATCACTGCTTGCTCAACACAAAGTTCCAGTCAAACAAACCTATCTCCTCTCCTATCAGCAGCTAGCAATGTTGAATCCACAGATTCACCAGACAAACCTTTCAACAAAAACCCCATTTCTACTAGCTAAACCATTCGTCCATGGAAGTGCCCATGCTTCTTTTCCTATCCAGTCAAGGTCCTCTTTCACTAAAGCAAACAAAAAAGTTCGAGTTGGCTATAAACATGGCAGCATTAAAGCTATAGCCAGTGTCACACAGAAGTCCACAGATGTGAAGGCTGTGGTGACTGTGAAACAAACAGTTCTTGATTTTTGGTCAGAAATAGGGATAGAACGAGGACTTGATGATATTTCAGACTTGCTTGGCAGAACCCTCCTCTTGGAGCTTGTTAGTGCTGAGCTTGACCCCAGTAAGCATAGTGCCTGTTTACAAAACTACTTTTTTTAAGTTCTTATTATATTATTTATTTCTTATCATGTTGTTTGTTTTGACTCCTTGGTGGAGCTTCTCACTGCGTTTTTTTTTTTTTTTTGGGGGGGGGGGGGTGTTGTTAACTGAGGTTTACATACTATGCTTTTTAATTATTTATTATAATAATTAATCATCTACTTCAAAAGAAGTCATGCATCACTATATATTTCTCAAGGACAAGGGGACAAACTTCTTCTTAATTTTAGTTTATTTGAACATCATTTTTTGAATTTTTAAATAGTGTTTTGATTTCTTTAAACTTTATTTTTTTTTAGATTTAATTTTTTTTTTATGATTTTCAGTTATCACTTCTCTTATTTTTTTAAAAAAATTCATTTTTTGATATTTGATCTAAAATTTTGCATACACATGGAGAAATATTCTACCTATTTTTTAAAATTTTCAAGATCCGAAATTGTATTTATTTATTTATTAAATATTTCAAATATAAAAAATTAGAAAAATAAAAAATAATTCAGTATGATTTTAAATTTTTTGGACAGCTTCAGATAAATCTCATCAAATAATTTTTATCATGAAATTATTTATATAATTGTTAATTTTTTTGAGATAAATGATAAAAAATTAAAGGGTGAACTAAATCTAAATATAAAAATAAAAAATTCAGGACGATCAAAATAGAAATTAAAAATTCAAAAACTGATATTAAGTAAACTAAAATTTAAAAATGGTTTGACCCCTTTAGCTTCTTCTTGATTTCAACTTGATCAGAAATATTTTCAAACGAGAAAATTAAAATTTGAATCTTGGTTAAGGAAGAAGTTGCAAAACTTCAGAAGATGGAATTATTCCCTTTTAGGAGGATTGGCAGTGACCTCCTGCTTAAAGCAGCTAGTCACAGGTTTCAGACAATCTCATCTCTCCTCGAACCCCTTCTTGGAAGGCGGAAAAGAAAAAGTTGAGAAGAGAGACAGAAACAGTACAATGCTTTCATATCTGTAATGGAATCCAGACTATCTAGCCAGTTGCAAACCACCAAACAAAAATATGGCTCTTTTATCTGGCTATATATATATATGGTTCGTATTTAATTTTATTGAAGCCAAAAATGAAAAAAAATTAGCTATTATTCTTGAGAAATGACTGGATCTGGCTCATTTCTGGAAAGAAGTTTTGATGGAATCTCTGTCTACCAAAATTTTTACTTCTAGTTCCGACAAACGAATAATCATGGAGTTCTCCTCCTCCTGGACAACACACACAAAAAGAACCGTCAATTAACAGTCAAGAAATAATTCATTTTCTTCGTCTAAATTCTAGCTTGCTTTTATGTTTTATTCATTTATTTTTTGGTATTTTTCTCTAGAGACGGGATTAGAGAAGCCCTCAATCAAAACGTACGCACATAAGGTAGACAGTGATGGAGACGACGTGAAGTACGAAGCAGAATTTGTGGTTCCACCAGATTTTGGAGAGGTTGGTGCCATTTTTGTGGAAAATGAGCACCATAAAGAGATGTACGTTCATGATGTGGTGCTTGATGGCTTCCCAAGTGGACCAGTTAATGTGACTTGTCATTCATGGATCCACTCGAAGTTTGACAACAAAAAGAAGAGGGTCTTTTTCACTAACAAGGTAAGGTTCTTATCTGTGGTCCAAGATCTTAATTTATTTTTTAATTAGACACTAATATTGATTAGAATTGATAAATATTTTTCTTAATATTTACTCACTAATTTATCCCTTTTTGTACAGATGTTGTGCACAATGTTTTAGTGAGATTTATGGAAGTTGGGTGTGGACTGACGTTCAATTCCATTTTGTCAGTTTGAATGTTCCAAAACTTTCAAAATTGTCACACTTCTAACATTAAGTTTGTGAAATTAAAATTCAAATAATAATAATAATTAATTAATTTAACCTGGCATTTGGTTGAAAGAGAGGTCAATTTGATAAACATAATATATTTTAAGTGATTTTTAATCACAAGATATATTCCATGAGGGTGATAAATATTTTATATGCTTTTTAATTAAGTCAACGTTTATGATTTTGTTTTTTGAATCTCTCGTGATAAGGCCAATATTACCACGTGAAAATTTTCAGGGCATGGGTATGGTTAAAATAAAAAATTCCCGACCACAAAAATATTATAGATTTTCTCTTTTTTTTTAAAAAAAAATTATTTATAGAAGAATTTTTTTTAAAAAAAGAAGTTAGCATTTGCATATGTAATAAGTCCTTATCTCTCTCTCTCTCTAAAAAAAATCTTTTTATCTTAAATGTATTTAATGTTTGAAATTCAAGATGAATATGATTAGAGATGACAATAGATCAGGTATAAAACGAGTATCCATTTTATTCGGTTTTAAATACTCATTAATAATGTCTAATCCTAATGAGTATTGAAGTGGGTAGGGGTAAAAAAATATACTTAATAATATGATTTTAGAATATGGCCACTCATTATTCTATTAATATTACTAATTTATTTATATTTTTTTATTAATATGTAAGGATCTAATTGCATAAAATTTAAAAATTAAGGATCAAAATATTTTTTTCAAAAACTTTGAGCACAAAAAAAAATCTTATAAATAAATGATCAAAATACAAAAAAATAAATTTTAAGTATTAAAAAAATTTTAAAAAATTATAGAGACTAAAATGAATACTTTTGATAAATTATATTTAGTGGATATGTAATGGGTATTAAATAGACCGATAATTAAAGTAGTGTGGATCAAATATGAACTAGGTAAAAATTTAAATGGTGATTGATAATAAGTACGAATATTTTGTTTTATTCGTAAGATGAAAAATTGAATTAATAAGTCGGATATCTATACATTAACATCCCTAAATATGATACCTATAGTTTGTAATCATGGCAACCTTAATTTTACCGTGGGTATATAATTGGTTTTTGAACATGTATCTGTGGTCCTCGTTCAGAATTATCATTTTTTGTACGTTTCTGCACCTGATTTAACAAGAGAAAACAAGAAAAAAGAAGGAAGGGACCATATGCATGCCGTTGTCAACATTCAGGGTTAAAGAATAACTAATGGAATGTTAGCATTATATTAGGTTTGATTTTTTTTTTTTTTTTTTTTTTGCAATTTTTGATATTGATTGATTTTTATGAAGCAATGTTAATTAAAAAACAATATAAATCATTTTTTATGGAACCATAATTTAAACTTTTAAAATGAAGTGGTATCAAAATTTTACTGATTAAATGATTATGAGTTCAAATCTGTGCAGTCATACTTGCCATCAGAAACACCAAATGGATTGACAAAATTGAGAAAGGAAGAACTTGAAACATTGCGAGTCAGTGACAATAAAGAGCGTAAGAAAGGTGATAGGATCTATGACTATGATGTGTACAATGATCTAGGAGATCCCGATAGTGATCCAGAGACAGCAAGACCGGTGATAGGCGGCGAAGAGCACCCCTACCCTAGGCGTTGCCGAACCGGCCGACCGCGAACCAAGTCAGGTAAAAATATACAAATTAAAATAATGAAAAAAATATTGTAGTTGGGATCTTTAATTCTTTTTTTTTAAGTGACTAAATAAGCATGAACATTAATTTATTCCTTCGTCGATTTCAACATTATGGAAACTATTGTGTTGATAGATCCTCTTACGGAGACAAGGAGTGGCAACTTCTACGTGCCTCGTGATGAAGAATTCTCAGAAATAAAGATGGGCACATTTTCTGCCAAGACACTCAAATCAGTATTGCATGCCCTTGTACCTTCTCTATCAACTGCAATTGTTGATTCTGACCTTGGATTCCCATTCATCAGTTCCATAGATGCACTGTTCAATGAAGGAATCAACTTGCCTCGCTTGAATAAAAAACAAGGGTGGAAAGATCTTCTGCCTAACCTTTTCAGGGCAATCACTGATGAAGCTAATGATGTCTTGCTATTTGAGACTCCTGAAACCATGGAGAGTAAGATTTTTCTCTTTATAGCTTAAATAAGAACTAGATTCTACATGAATATACATGAGAAAGCAATAACTTAAATCATAAATATTTGTAGTCTCTCAATTTTGTAATACGGTTTTTTCTTTTTGTATTGCAGGAGACAGGTTTTTCTGGTTTAGGGATGAAGAATTTGCTCGACAGACTCTTGCTGGTCTCAACCCTTGTAGCATCAAAAGGGTCACGGTACGGTATTTATGAGCCTTAATATAAGCAAAAATCAGTCCAGATTCTTGCAGTCCATGAAAATTTTATGATATCTTGCTTAAGTATTGCATTGAATCATGCAGGAATGGCCATTGAGGAGTAAACTAGACCCTGAAATCTATGGCCCCCAAGAATCAGCAATCACTACCGAAATGGTTGAGCAAGAAATCAGAGGCTTCATGACATGTGACCAGGTATGTAGTAGAAAATTCGACGTAAAAAGGGTGTAAAAGCCTGTCTCGAATTTGTATTAATTAATCATCTTTGGCCCTTAAGAAACTAAATTAGGTGCATCCATTAATGTAGGCAATAAAAAATCAGCAACTTTTCGTCCTAGACTACCATGATTTATTCCTACCGTTTGTAAGCAAAGTAAGAGGGCTGAAAGGGACAACATTATACGGATCGCGGACATTGTTCTTCTTAACACCAGACGGAACATTGAGGCCACTAGCTATTGAGCTAACTCGCCCACCGATGGATGGTAAACCGCAGTGGAAGCAAGTGTTTAGACCAACTTGGCATTCCACAGGTGTTTGGCTCTGGAGGCTTGCCAAAGCTCATGTCCTTGCACATGAGTCTGGCTATCACCAACTTATCAGTCATTGGTATGTACTTTCCTTGCGCTTTGTCGGAGAATGTATCCCATATCAAATAAATAAATAATATATAAGTAATATGTAAAGTTAGAAAAAGCCATCCAACACAGAGCTTAATTAAGTTTTTTGGATGGACTAATCTCAACGGTTCATTGGAAATTGGAAAATAAAGATAAGATTACGACTATTGTAATATATGATATGTTTTGCAGGCTAAGAACACATTGCTGCACAGAACCATACATAATCGCGGCCAATCGCCAACTTAGTGCAATGCATCCAATCTTTAGACTCTTGAAACCGCATTTCCGGTACACAATGGAGATCAATGCTCTAGCTCGACAATCTCTAATCAATGCAGAAGGGGTTATCGAGACGTCATTCTTTCCAGGCAAGTATTCCATTGAGATGAGCTCTGTTGTGTATGATAAAGAATGGCGGTTTGACAACGAGGCACTGCCCAAGGATCTAATTAACCGGTAAATTTGGCCATTAGCCTATCTTTCTATCAAACCTAGATCATGCGGCAAGTTATAGTTATTACCATTTCCTAAGCAGCTGCTAGTTATGACATTTTCTTTCTGATTCTCATAATTGACAGGGGAATGGCCGTTGAAGATCCATCAGCTCCCCATGGTTTGAAATTGATAATGGAAGACTATCCTTATGCCAGTGATGGTTTGGTTTTATGGGACATCATCAAAGAGTGGGTTGGTGACTATGTCAATCACTACTATCCAGACTCGAGCCTAATAGAGTCTGATACTGAGCTACAAGCATGGTGGACGGAAGTCCGAACGGTAGGTCATGGTGACAAGAAAGACGAACCATGGTGGCCTGTGCTCAAAACACCCCAGGACCTTATCGAAACTCTGACAACTATCATCTGGATAGCCTCCGGCCACCACGCTGCAGTGAATTTTGGACAATATACATATGCAGGATATTTTCCAAATAGGCCTACAACTGCTAGAATGAATATGCCAACCGAAGATCCGAACGATGAGGTGCTGAAACTATTTTGGGAGAAACCTGAAGTGATACTGTTGACAACATTCCCTTCACAAATTCAGGCAACAACGGTGATGTCTGTATTGGATGTGTTATCAAATCATTCTCCTGATGAGGAGTATCTTGGGCAACAAATTGAGCCAGCATGGACAGACGAACCGGCTATAAATGCGGCATTTGAAAAGTTCAATGGAAGGTTGAAGGAGTTTGAAGGAATTATCGACGAAAGGAATGGTGACCTGAAGCTGAAGAATAGAAATGGAGCTGGCATTGTGCCTTATGAGCTTTTGAAGCCATTTTCTGATCCTGGAGTTACAGGAAAAGGAGTTCCGTACAGCATCTCTATTTGAAGTTTGAAAACTTGTTATGGTATTGAAAAAAAAAAAAGCAACTACTATTTATCTATCAAGGACTGAATAATAATTCACTCTTTTCTTCTAAGAAAAAGCAAATTACTTTTTATCTATCAATCAGCCGCAAGGATAACTACTCTTTATGGGCTCTGAAAAATGAACTCGATTGTGGTATCTTCAAACATGTTTCCAATTATGATTTTTTAATTGACTCATGGGAAGGTGTAATTTCTTAAAGTTGGGTTTTTGGCTTTTTGCCCTTTGCTTTCCTTTTATTTTCAAATTTGCCGGTTAGTGGTTTTGTGCTGCTAAGTCATTGTTGTTAGTATTTTCATATTATATTATTTTTATTATTTAAAATTTATTTTTAATTTGTTTTTTTTAAATGAAGTTTGTCATCTAATTAATTTTTAATTTTAAAAATTTTTATTTATTATCAAATTTGATTTATTTTCTCTTTATATAATTTTTTGAATTAAATTTTAGAATATATTGTTTTCAACAAATTGATATAATTTATATGATGTATTTTTTTAAATGATAGTACCATGATTATGTATGTGTGTGTAAATTTAATCTAAAGATTAAAAGTTTTTTTTCAAAGAAGAATTAATCATGTTTTTTTTAATATAAAATTTATAAAAAACATAATGAATAATTAGTCAAATATAAAATTTTAATTAAAAAACAAAAAATTAAATGATTATATTATTTTTTATTTGATATATTTGATAGACATATAATATAATACCGTTTATCAGAATAATTTCTTAAAATAATTTCATATATTTTTTCGATCCATAACATAGCAAAAGTTAAAAAACTAATGTTTTGCTATTTTTTTGAGTTCTCATGTTAAAGACCATACCTATTCTACACTATAAAGTTAAATAGTTGAGATTGAATTTCATCCAAAAGACTTAGCTCTTATGATATGTGGCTCCTTCTCAATTTTATATATTATTTATCATTGGTTTAACTATTCAATTTGAGATATGTTCTAACATATACCGACACAACAAATTCAAGAGGCTATGAATCAAAAAAACAAATGCTAATCGGTTAAATTCCTCCTTCAAATCTACTCAGATGGCGTTCAATTGCTGAACTTTTAGCCAAATGATAGAAGATACAACTTAGTTTTAAATTTTACAATTTTAATATTTTGATTAAGCCTGGGTACATCGTTTCTTTCAATTATCTTTTTCCATAAGAAAATGCATGGTTTCTTTCAATTATATTTTTCAATAAGAAAATACAGTGGTAGTTTCGTTAGCGAGGCTCAATAAAGATCTTGATCGAATTTTTTATTTGTTGTTTATATCATTGATGTGAATTTTTTTTTTTTTAATCAGGTGTCAGCTGAGTCTATTGGTGATAAATGAGATAGCCATCAACGTCAAACATGGTACGGCAGATCAAAACAAACAAGTCCAACAATTCTTGTGTCTCACGAGGTGAAGTATGGCCAAGGAAGGTTGCCCTAATAAAAGTCTCCATGCAAATATCATTAAGGTCGTGTCGGTCGTGGTTTACTCTCTGTCTTTTTGGTTTATGTGTTTTTTGAATGCATGACCCACTAAGATTTTGTTTGCAAAAGATTAGTAGAATCATGTTTTGTTAATTAATGCTCTTATTTTGTTTGCAAGCCAGCTCGTTATTTAATTAGTTGTCGGATTGATCTTCAAATGATTTAACACTGCAGCTTTTTCTTCACTTCTGTATAACTTAACTAATTGATTAATTATCATCCATGGTTAAGAAGTTTAAAACCAAAAAAAAAAAAAAAGGTTTAATTTTCTACTTAATTTATCTCATTTTTCTTTTCTTTTTTTAAGAAACAAATAGAATTTTTGATACTGCTTGTTTACAATAAAACATGCCATTTTCATACTTAATTTATCTCTCCCTTTTTTCTTTTTTCAAGAAACAAATAGAATTTGCACTTGGAATACTTTTGTTAAAAGTTATTTAATGATTCCAATCGATTTTCAAATATTTTCATATAAAATAATGCATGTTTAATACTTATAATCGAATTCATTTTCATTCAAATATTTAATTTTGTTCCTTTGTTATTACAATTCAACATGAAATAAAGTACAATCAATGCATTTACATAATGCTCAATTGATGTTCTAAATACACTCACTAATTAAAATTATTATATTATCTTTCATGATTACATGTTATATTATTATTTCAATATAAAATTTTAAATTGTTAAGTGAAATTCTAAATACAAGTCTTCAAATGAAAACTTTTTAAACTTAAAAATTATATAGATTCATTATTACTTTCTACTTAATCATTTAATTAAAAAAAGTGGAAGCGAAGAAATCAACTCTTCGAAGTCTTGATCTTTTGGTTATCAAGGCACGTAAGCTGCTGACTTTTGATTCATAGGCTTGGACTCAAATGTGTCGGTGTACAATGGGTATGGTCTTTTGATTCATAGCCATCTTGAAAATTAACGTGCCTTGGACTATTAAATTTCAATCATATCAATCATTATACTAATCAGTTTTGATCTATACTATTTTACTTTAATTTTCAAGATGTATTGACCCTTTTGTGATAGTATTTAGTTTGATTTCATTCTGTTAGTTGATTTATGATTGATTAATAGAATGATCACATGTGGCATGGAAATAATTATTTAAAAAAATTCAAAATTTAGAAAAAGAAAAAAAAACAACTTAATAAAATAATGGCCAGTTAGAGTTGAAGAATTTTTTCTTCATAAATCGAGATTCATGGATATTAGAATTAGATAGTTGAGATTGAGTTCTATCCAAAAGACTTAAGCCTTGTGGTGGATGATCCCTTCTCAACTAAGCATTATCGAACCATCTTTTAAAAAATATAAAAAATGGATAGAAATACATGTTCATTATTACTTTTTGTTTAATTATTTAATTTTCGTTAAAAAAAATGAGACTTATAGAATTTAAATTCACAATCGTATGATCAATAAAATTTTTATATCATTTAAAAAACATCTCAACACAAAATTTTAAATTATAAAATGAGATTTTAAGATATGTATGATTTATGGCATACATAATCTGATAGGGCTAAATAAAATCACTAATCAATACAAAAATAATAATAATCAAGTGGTTGGATGAGTTTGTTTTCATATTTAAGCAACGTTGAATCAAATATTTATTTAGTTGGATCTAGTGATAATGTTGTTCTTGGCCATATAGTTGGGTCACAGAAGACCTTTTTTCTAAACAATAGTAAATAATTACGGTGTTATCCACATAATTCAACCAATCCCATCACCAAAAAAACCTATCCTCGGTTTAAAAGTCATATGGTCATCTCCATTTATTTCCCTTACTGTACGTTTTGTCCTTTGTGTCCCCACAATTAATGCATCGTGATGTTGCTTACCCAATTAGGTACGTAGTACTGTTCAGTCTACTGATTAATATCAATCTTTAGCAATTTTTAGGATTTTTATTTTAATAATAATCGAGATTAGATTAAATAAAAATAGACTTAGCTGACAACTGATTAAAAAATAAATAAAAAATCACATCAAGCATATAAACAAAAAATAAAAAATTTGATCAAGATCTTTATTGAGCCTCGCTAACGAAACTACCACTGTATTTTCTTATTGAAAAATATAATTGAAAGAAACGATGTACACAGGCTTAATCAAAATATTAAAATTGTAAAATTTAAAACTAAGTTGTATCTTCTAGCATTTGCCTAAAAGTTCAGCAATTGAACGCCATCTGAGTAGATTTAAAGGAGGAATTGAACTGATTAGCATTAGTTTACCAAAACTAGATATTACAAGGTAGTATGTAATGATCAAACATTTTTCATGGGGTAAAATTGACTAGTTGACCCAAACAATTAGAGTTAAGGAAAGGGTCATAAATTAAAAAAAAAATAGTACTTAGAATTAAAATCACAATTTCACTATGGTTTCCCTCTTAATGCTAACTTTTGTCCCTTGTTTCAATTTATATAGCTTGGATGCATTGGCTGAGTGGAGTAAATCGATTTTTTATTGTCAAAGTGATAAAATTTATTCACTAAACTAATATCTCAAAAGATTTAAAATCGTAACATGTCGTAAATAAAGAACTCATTACCATTACATCGGAAGCCAATTGGCTATGATCATCTTCTTTAAATGTACCAATACAAAGAAATAAGAGCTAGTGTCCTGACATTTCTACCTCTCTCTCCCTCTCTCTTAATCTCAAGCATAGATTCTATGCCATAAGAATATAATGTCAAACCCAATCCAAAATGTTTCGTATTACACTTAATAGCAGAGATCTAAGACTTGTTCTCCAATGATATCCATGGTGCAGGACTGTTCAAGAAGTTAAGATCAAATGGTTGAGGGAGGGAAAAAAAAAAACAACAGTACACATGATTTAGCGCATTTTGGAGTAGAAAATATATGGATAAGCAATTAGAACAAATTTTACTTTTCATGCATGAAGAATTACATTGATCAGCAAGCTGATGTGAACTTAATGAACAAGAAAAAAAGAAAAAAAAAAGAGATTTGTATTCCAATTCAAAAGATTTTGTGTAGAGGCCCAATATCTATTAGAGAGTAATTGGTTTTTTTAGCCGCGCAATGTTGCGATCGGACGTAACACAAAATTATTTTAGTTTGATATTTCGTATTATATTTTGCATATATTGTCGCTACCCAATATCGGATGAGACTCTCAAAAAATTTAAAATTTATTTTACAGAGTTATTTATAAGTTTGGAGTTACGACTTAATATTAAAGAAATTAGGAACATAAAAATAACACCGGCGCGGATATTTTAAGCAACGTGTTGGTTACACTTTGGAAAAATATCGATCACCCAAAAACGTCTTTTTCTAAGAAAGGTATCATATTTGATTTAGTCCCAAATTCATCTTCTAAAGTATTTTATTTGTGTCAAGTTATTTCCTATTCAAACTCCAATTTTTCTAGTCAAATTAAGTTTGTTATTTTTGGGCATGACATTATATTGAAACGATCGTTAGACATCCCGATTATTAAATATTGATAATATTTTCTTATTATTTTTTTCTTATTTCTTTTCTTTTTTTTTTTTGTTAACGACGAGTCCCTATTAAATATTGATGATATTTTTTATTATTTTTTTGTTAATGACGGTCCCTATCGGATAGGAGACTTCGTTAAGGAATTTTACTCCCTAAAAAAAGAGAGAGACTTGATAATTATCCACCTATTGATTACTTAATCTAATTATTAAACAAATAAAAATTCATAATTATATTAATTAAATAAAGTAAAGAAAATTCAAACATTGAAATAACAATTAAACATACAAAAAAAAAAATACAAAAAATTAATTCAAGATTAAATGAAATAAAATGAAGGCTTTTGTTAGTTGTCTTGCAACAATTGCATTGGGAATCATCAAGTTGACTCTTTTCTCTTAGCTTCAAACTAGATTTTTTACCTGCAGTGTAATATATAAAATTATTTAAAAAAATCATGTTAATTAGTTAGCGTGTTTTATGATGTGAATGTATAAAAATATATAAAATCAAAAGTGAAAAATATTTTAAATTTTTTAATGTAATTTGAAATTAAATGGATGAGAATTTTTCTAAAATGACAAATTAAAATAGTAAATTTTAAATAATAAAAATAATCAATTAAAAACACTAAAAAAAAAATGAGATCAAATTACAATACCATTAAAGTTTAAAATTAAATATATATATATATATTGTATAAAAAAATTGAGGACCATATAATTTTAAATTAATTGGATGAGAAAAGAATGAATAATATTAAAATAAATGAAAACTATTATTAAATGTAATTTTAAATTAATTGGATAAGAATTTGAAAAAAATGGCAAATTAAAGTTATAGATTTAAAATAATAAAAATAATAAAACAAATGGGCTAAATCACAATAAAATCAATATAATTAGATATACTCTCTCTCTCTCTCTCTCTCTCTCTCTCTCTCTCTCTCTCTCTCTCTCTCTCTCTCTCTCTCTCTCTCTCTCTCTCTCTCTCTCTATATATATATATATATATATATATATATATATATAAGAGGAGAGAAGCGCCTGATTGGCTTGTGCAACTAGGTTGCACATAACTTTTTTTTAAAAAAAATTAATTGAGAGAGGTCGGCATGGTTGGCTTGTGCAAGCGAGCCCACACTCCGAGCTTGCCTGCTAAAAAAAAAAAAAAATTCTACAACTTCCGACGAGTTGAAGGTCATCGAAAAATCGAAAGTCAACTTTCGGATCTCTAAAAATTGAATTCCGACATCATTTCGCCCCCTCCCAACACCTCTAAATGACCGAATGAAGCCAATAAACACATCTAAAACCTTAAAAATCATTTTAATACACACAAAAATAAAAAAAATGCAAAATCAAATCGGATTTTTCTTTTTTTGGCTTCGATCTACCTCCTTTAATTGTTTAATGACTTGAAATTACTATGGACAAACTCATCTCTTAAAGATAAACAAATCTACTCGAATTTTCGCCGACCGGAGTAGCCTAAATAAGGTTGGCAAACAATCTCTCTCTCTTCCTCTCAGCTTTCTCTCTCCACCCAATGACCAAAATGGATGAATAAATGAACATATGGATCGAAATGTTATTTAAAAAATATTAAGGACCAAAGTATAAAAAAAGTCATGAATAGTAAAAATTACAGTGAAATGTGAGAGTATGAATAGAAAATTATGAGAAAGTGAACAATATTTTAAATAGTAATGCTAAAGTAATTGATGATTTTTTTTAAGTTTTTTAGCCAATGTTATTGAAAAATCGAAAGTATGTAAAACCCAAGACAAAGCAGGGGCCATACGTTAGTCAGCATGAACAAAGAGACATGCTACATGTTAAAAAACCCAATTGATGACTAATCTAAAACATAGCAGTGCACCACCAGTTGACAAGACAAGTTATAGCGCAACAAACATGCTGACATAAAACCAAATGTAGAATAAAGTGTTGTTTGATTTTTTTTAGATCAGCAACAAAGAGAAAGAAAACAGAACCCTGCATAAGATACTACTTTTTTATTGCATGAACAAGTTCGGTAATCTTGCCCCAATGCTGGATAAACTCATGCAGGAATGGCCACTGAGGAGTAAACTTGATCCTAACATCTACGGTCCGCAGGAGTCAGCAATCACAGCAAGTATAATTGAGGAAGAAATCATTGGTTTTGAGACAGTTGAGGTGGTAGCCAGGAACCCATTTTCAACAAGAAATAAAAACCATCATTATGGTCAGTAATTAATTGTTGAATTTGATTATGTAAGAACGAAAGAAGTTGTTCATCCTTGATTATCATGATTTACTTTTACCATTTGTGAGACAAGTAAGAGAGCTTGGAAACAGAACTTTATATGGTTCGCGGACATTGTTCTTCCTAACCCCACAAGGGACGTTGAAACCGCTTGCCATTGAGCTTACTTGTCCAGAGATGGATGGAAAGCCACAGTGGAAGCATGTGTTTACACCTACCACCGATTCTGCCTATCACCAACTTATATCTCACTGGTGTGCATTTCCTTCACTTTTATTTCCAGTTACAAGTTTACAACATCCTTCTGTGCATATCTATATTTTAATGCTTAGGAGCTGTCATAAGTTTCAAGAAAAATCAACTTCTGTTGTTTTATTTTGATAGTTGAGATTGATTTTTATTTTAAAAAAATTAAATTTATATTTATTCAGTATAAGATATATTTATTAATTACTTGCAGTATATATTTTAAAACCTATCAAGTAGTTTGGATTTTAAAATCTCTATTGGATTGTTAAATCTTTTTTAAATTATATCGATATATTATATTAAATTAAATAGTCGAGATTTTATTTTATTAAAAAAATTTAGACCTTAAGGTGGATGTTCTATTTAATATTTTTTATATTAAATTTTTACGTATTAAACTAAGCTTAGGCCTTGAAAAGGCCCGGCAGCATCCAACAACCGTTTAGCTTCCCCTTATTTTGTTGTATTTTTTGCAGGCTAAGAACTCATTGTGCCACAGAGCCATACATAATTGCAGCGAATCGCCAACTCAGTGCCATGCATCCAATATATAGACTCCTGCACCCTCACTTTCGATACACAATGAGTATTAATGCTGAAGCTAGAAATTCTCTTATCAATGCTGGCAGAACGATTGAGACGACATTCGCACCTGGCAAGTATTCTATGGAGCTAAGCTCCATTATCTACGATAAGCAGTGGAGGTTTGACGATGAGGGACTGCCCAAGGATCTAATTAGCAGGTAGCAACATTGATTACCCTCTTGACACCAACTTATAATTCTCATTTCTTCAAATTTAACACGAAGGCAGCAACCAGATATATCTTCTTTTTCTGTTTATATTTATGACTAATAAATCTTCTGGTTTTGCTAATTGACAGAGGAATGGCCGTTGAAGATCCATCTTCTCCCCATGGTCTGAAACTAGCAATCGAAGATTACCCTTATGCCAATGATGGTCTTGAGTTTTGGGCCATCGTCAAACAATGGGTCAGCGACTATGTCAATCACTACTATCCAGAAGCAAGTCTCATTGAGTCTGATTCTGAGCTCCTAGCGTGGTGGGAAGAAGTACGTACTGTAGGCCATGGTGACAAAAAGGATGAACAATGGTGGCCTGAGCTAAAAACACCGGAGGACCTTATCAAAATCATCACAACTATTGTATGGGTTGCCTCAGGTCACTATGCTGCTGTAAACTTTGGACAATATGCTTATGCAGGGTATCTCCCAAACAGGCCTACAATTGCTAGACGAAACATGCCAAATGAAGACAAAAGAGATCAGGATTATTGGAAATCGTTTTTGGAGAAACCTGAAGAAATACTTTTGAAAACCTTCCCTTCGCAACGTCAAACATTAACAGTGATGTCTACTTTGATTGTCTTATCTGCACACTCTTCTGATGAAGAGTACCTAGGGGATAAAATAGAGCCAAACATCGGATCCACTTGAAGTCTCGACATAATTGTTGTGTCGGAGAACATCCCGATTATTACATGATGTGATAATTTTTGATAACGATCTGTTCCTACCGGATAAGAGACCTCGTTATATATATATATATATATATATATATATATATAGTTTACTCAAATGATAGTCCCTATAAGATAAAAGACTTCATTGAGAATTTTTATTATTTTTATTTTTTGATCAAACGACAGTCCTATAAGATAGAAGACTTCGTTGAGAATTTTTATCATTTTATTATTATTTTTGATTATTTTTCGATAAAAGATTATCATCGATTCTTAAAATTAGGAAATTCGACAATCCTTCACCTATCAATTAATGAGCCTAATTACTAAACATATGAAGTAAAGTTATGTTGATTAAGTAAATTAAAGACAATTAAAATATGAAAAATCTAAATTAATAACAAAACATGCATAAAATGAATAAAAACTAAAATTACCTAAATTAAAGTAATTACAGACAATTCTAAATTAAATATAAACAACATTCACATAACAAATTTAAAATTTTAATTACATTAATTGAAATGATTGAAGGCATTTAAATATCTAAATTAAATATAAAACACTAAGCATCCAGAAAATCTAAAATTTAAATTATAGTCAAACATTTTATTTTTTCCTTTTTTGTTTTTTTTAAAATTATTTTTCTTCTTCCCTACTCCTATTTTTTATTATTTTTTTTATTATATATATATATTTATTATTTTTCTTCAGTCCAGCCTTTGTTCAGCGAGGGTTGGACCGACATCTTTTCTTTTTTTGTTTTTTTACCTCTGGACTGGACTGAAGTCAAGAAACACGCCCAATAGCCGAATTCATTTCATTTTCGATCACAATACCCTTTTTATCCTGTCTGACCCTCTCTCTCTCTTGTTCTTCATTTTCATTTTCTCTCTCCATTTTCCAGTTTTCCTCTAGAATTAAAACCCTATTTCAGACAAACAACTTAGCCAACACATCATATTTATACTTTTGTTTCGATCATAAACCACTAATAACTAATAACATTTAAAATGATAAACAATAAAATCAAAGCTGAAAAAAGAAGATGAAGAAAACTGACCGGATTGGTGATATCGAGGATCGTGATTCTGAAAGCGAAATGGACTGGAATTGAACCTCGGGAAGATTTCGGGAGGATTAAGGGACTTTTTTTTTGTTCGTGAACGCTTGAATAAGACTCAGAATTGAAGAATTGAGGAAAGAAATAAAAAACCCAAAAATCGTGAAGAACACGAACCCAGCTGCTATGAAGAAACGCACGTGGCTGCCCAGAATTCCTAAAGAGAAATCCCAGAATTTGAAGAATTGAGCCCCAAATTTCAGGAATTGAAGTTGAGAAACCCGTGAGGAATGAGATGGAAATCAGAAAAACCAAAAAAAATGGATTGACAAGGCCTGCGTTGAAGAACAGAAACCCAGCAAATGAAGAACACCAAACCCAAACCCAGAAAAAAACCCAGAAATGGCAAAACTGAAAGTCCCTGTTTTTCGAATTTCCACCTTTTTCTTTGCTTTTCACTCTCTCTGAACCCAGAATCCCTTTTTCTCTACCCAGCATTCTCTCTAAGGGAAGAACACTTGCCCAGAATTTAAGGACCTGAAGAACACTGCCCAGAAAAAAATGCAGAAGAATGCTACTGCCCCAAAACCAAAATTTCTACTTTGTTTTCGATTTTCACTCCCTCTCTAAACCCAGAACTCCCCCTCTCTTGAACCAGAATCAAAGCATTTTATAGGCCAAAAACTGGTTCGAATTTCTCCCCAAAATCAGTTCATTCAAATTTCAGTTGTCAAATCTAAAACTCAAATTTCAATTGTCAGATTTCGAATTTGATTGGCTAAACACAAGGGAATGGATCAAATTAAAAAAATTCAAAAAACGGTCGGAGGATTTGGACAGATTGTCAACTGATTTTGGAGGGATTCTGCAGTGGAGTCGTCCGCTCAATTTCAGTCCTGTCGTTCCTTCAAATTTCCATTTTGGTCCCTAAAAAGTTCAATTGTGTGCAATCATGCCATCTTCCTGTGTAATTTCAGTCCTTGTAAAACCCAATTTTATCAATTGGGCCTCTCATTGATAGTGATTCGAGTACTGAATTTCTTAATTGACTCAATTGTGCCCTTAAATATTTCAATTATACTTTCAATTGTGTCCTTTGATGATTTTTTTTTGTATTTTCTATCTATTTTCTTCTTCTTTTTTTATATTTTTATTTTTACTCTCTTTTTAAAAAAAAAACTAATTCAAATAAAAGAGAAATAAACTAAACTAAAATAAATAATATGACTAAAAATAAAAATTGTAAAGCTAAAGTAATTTTTTTGGTTATGACGGAAAACCTCAAATTAATCACTAACCGAGTACATCCAATTCTCAAAACAAAAACTTTTATCATTGAAAAACTTGTATTCGATATAGAATAAGTTTTTATCACTTTTCCTCACTTACAATTTATTTTTTAAAATCTAATAAATAGTTTAATTTTTATTGGAACATTAAATCCAATAAATATTTTGATTTCTCTCCACCTTTTTTTAACTAAATTCCTCTCCTTTCTTGTTTATTTGCTGTGGATTATACACTATCCATTTGTTAGTTCCCCACCATGATGGTGAGGGACTTTGCGAGGATCATGGGAGTGGGGAGTTAGCGATTGCGTGCTACAAGAGTTGCGGTAGGTAGGTGAGGATTTGTGGTGCCCCCGATTCTTTGTCGATTACCTAAAAGGCGTGGCTAGGTGCACCACGGTTTAGAGACCGAAGTCTCAAATTTAATCCTATATACATACACAATGTACTCGAATATCATTATAAAAATTACAAAATATAATTTACAAGTAAAGATAGATCTTATAATTGTCATGTCACACATGAGCCTTTTTCGGGAGGAACCGGTAGCTTTATTTTCAACATTATTAGTGGTTTTACCTATCATGGCATGAAATAAACACGGATTGAGCCGAAGCTCGGTAAGTAGGGTGATACACGTGATATGCAATGATTTTCCGACTTCCCCACCTTGACTCATCAAATTTTAATTCGGGTACCACGAGTATTAGCAAGTCTACTCTATTTTTAATCTAGGTGAACCGCGACTCACCTTCTGCTACAACGGAATTAGCCCTCGTTGTAGCCAATGTTAGCGAGAATCCATCGTTTAACGATGCAGGCATACAATTGGACCGCTAATTCCCTTTTATCTAGTAGGTTACCAAACCTATCCAATTTCCATTCGATTCGGTTACCAAACCTCATCATTTTCGACTCAATGGTTTTTCTCAATTTAATCCATTCCCATATGCATATGGTTTTTCTCGTTAACCACATTCTTCCAAGTCATAGGTAATAAACCGATCGATTCCGTACCATTGAGTTCACATAAAGAATTCAAGACCCGTCTAATAGGGTTATTCCATTTCATGTATCATGAACCACATTTCATATCTCATAGACACCAAAATATTTATGTCCATACCATTTTAGAAATTCAATCCACACTTGGGTCTTTATCAATATTTTCATGGTATGATCCAACTTGATCATTTTAGTACCAAAGTCCACTAAGTATTCTTAGGATATCCAAGTCCATTTATTTTCATCCAAACTCATTTTATTTTAGTTCAAGCCCATTTATTTTAATCCAAACCCAAGTCCATTTATTTTAATTTGATTCCATTTTATTTTAATCCAGGACCATTCTATTTTAGTCCAAGCTCATTTATTTTTAATCCAAGCCCAAGTTTATTTGTTTTAATTCAATTCTATTTTATTTTAATCAAAGCCCATTTTTATTCTAACTCAAGTCCATTAATTGTAATCCAAACTCTTTTTTATTTTAGTCCAAGCCCACTTTGTTTTAGACCAAGTCCATGTGTTTTATTCCTAGTCCACTTTATTTTAAATCCAAGCCCATTCATACATATCTTCCAAACCCATATGGTTATATTAGGGTGGCTTAGTTATCTAACTAAATACTTAGGATAACTAAACACCTTAACTAATCAAGTTTAAGTACCTAAACTCATTTGTTCCCATTAAATTTTGGAAATCCCTATACCTAAACTCGAAATTTTTTTCTATACTAAATCGGCCATAACTCTTTACATATAGATTTAAAAATCACTAAATTTTACAAAGAGCTAGTAGACACATAAAGGAACAACTTTTATTCTTTGAGTTTTATTCAAAAATCACTCTAAGATCCCTAAATAAATCATACAAAGTTCGTAACTAAAAATTTTCAGCATGTGGTACATCTAAATGATCCGTACCAAATCGGCTATAACTCTTTATATATAGATCTCAAAGTCATGAAATTTTATAGAGAGCTAGTAGACACATAGATGAAACAACCTTTTTTCTTTGAGTTTTACTCGAAATAATTCTAAGATCCCTAAATAAATCACGCAAAGTTTGAAATTTTTCACACCTAAAAATTGAAAAATTCTCTTTTAAATTTTTTAAAACACATTTCTCATCACATATAGTTATCACCAAACCAACCCATCACACATGTATAACCATCCATCATCATACATATAAATGGCATACTTATACGTTCTAACCTAAAGTTTACCATGAAATACACATCCAACATTCAAAATAAATCCATCATCAAAACATCATAAATCCATCACCAAACATCAAATTTTTAACATCAACACAAGCTACCATAACCACATATTACATGGCTTAAAAAAAAAAACCCATAAATCAAATATTTAAAAGAGAACTTAAAGTACAAATAAAACTAAAACGAAACCAAAAGAAACCTACTTATAATCATGTGTGTTTGGTTAAGATTTCTTAGCCTTTTCTTCTCTTTCTCCTTCCTTTCTTTCCTTTCCTTTCTCTTTTCTTTCTTCCTTTTCTTTTTCTCCTTTCCTTCCCTTAAACTCACCTTTTTCTCTCCTCTTTTGAAGGGTATAAATTTTTGGCTAAAAAGAATAGTAAGGTTTCATCTTTTCATCTAATTTTGATACTACACTTTTTTTTTTTTTTTTTATGTTTAATATGCCAAGTGTCCAATTTTTGTGGTAAGAGAGGTCAATTGATGGAAACAAAAAGAGAGACGAGTTTGAGTGTTTAACCTTCCAAAATTAAGTAAGAAAGTACAAATAGAAGTATGGTGAAAGATTTTATGTCACATCACTAACTAAAGAGAGAAGCTAAAAGATAATTAAACTAACTAACTTCCTAACCTTATCTGGTTTATAAAATTCCATCATGACTCTTAAGTGGGACATATTTTTCACTTACATGATCATTTTAAATATACATTATGAAAAAATAAATAATAGTTAATTAAATTTCAAAAAAAGTATTCCTATGAACAATTTCATAAACCTTAAATATTTTCAAACCACTAATATAAAAGAAAAGACATATAATTTATGCTCACATAATCATGAATATTTTAAGAAATATTTGAGCTCGAAAATTAAATTTCGATATACTAAAATTATTATTATTTTTTTTTTACCCAAACATCTTAAACTCATCAAATATAAACATTATACAAAAATTATAATTATGACTTAATAAATATAGATAAAATTATTTTTATATATATAGTTACGTTAATTAAGTTTATGGGAGTTACAGGTTGTGGAGGTGATTGCAGGATTGTGAGGAGCGAAAAGTTGGCTGGCTGTTGGAGTTACGGCATAATGAGGGTTGTTGGATGATTGCTGGATTTGTGGAGATTTGACAACTGTAGGATGGTTGCTGAAGGTTGACTTGGATGAGGGAGGCTGCAGGAAAGAGTGATGGGTGGGCTACGGTAATTGCAATAAAGGGCTATTAGCTTTGGTGAAGGAGTGCAGGGAGGCTGTCCAGCTGCAGCAGAATTGTGGCAAGTATAAAGGGGAGGCTATAGCAACAGTAGTAATTGCAGCAGTAGGGGGCTGTTAGAGTTTGTCTAATGAATGGTTTGAGGCAAACTTTAAGAACTACTTAAAGATGGAGAAAAATTTGCACCGGAGATAGAGGGGAATTGTCCCTCCATCCTTGTTTTCTTTTTTATTGTTTGTATTTTATTATTTTTTTATTGAGTTCCCAAGCAAATAAATAAATAAACATTTTTTATTATTTTGTAATTTTTTCTTATTTTTTTGTTGATTTTTTTTTTTTTTTTTGGTTTCAATAAAAACAAAATATTAACTAAAGAACAAAAGTAACAGAAACTAAACTAAAAAAAATAACAACTAAAATTTTAAAATGAACAAAAATTAGGGTAGGAGATATACCAAAATATATCAAGTTAAAAATAAATAAAAATTTATTTAATTTTTTAATCAAAATTTTGTATTTAACTAATTATTCTTTATATTTTTCATAAATTTTTTTATTGAAAAATTATTTATTTATCTTCATCCGTAAACTAAAAATTTATAATAGTATGAAATATGTCAAAATCAATATATTCTTAACTAAAAACTTATTTTGTAAATATTTTTTTCTAAACAGACTTTTTGTCTTAAAAATTAGAAGAAAAAAAGAGAAAGGACCAAAGTGATCAAAATGACACAAAATGGGATCAAAATTAAACAAAAAATATTTACGGACTAAAACAAATAGTTTTTTTTAAAAAAACGAAGTGTAATATCACGAAAACTTTCAAAATAAATATCTTTAAAATATTTAAAAATTATAAAAATACTAATGCATAGTGATCGAAATAATGCACATGAGTCTCAATGAATAGTGCAAACGAGTTCTTAACTAGAAACTTATTTTGTACATTGTTTTTTTTAAACTCTTTTTTCCTTAAAAATTTTAACTAAAAAATCAGAAAAAAAGAAAGGATCAAAGTGATCAAAATGAAATAAAAATGAGACCAAAATTAAACAAAAAATATCTACGGACTAAAAAAATAATTTTTTTAAAAAAGAAATCAAAGTGTAATATCACTAAAACTTTCATAATAAATATCTTTAAAATATTTGAAAACTACAAAAATACTGCTACATAGTGAAAAAAATAATACATATGAGTTTGAATGAATAATGCGAATGAGTTCGAATGGACAGTATTTCAAATAGTACAATAAATAGTAATCCATCGTTTTATTTTAGTTTTTTTGTTAATATAAAACTATTTAAAACCATTTCTAAATCTTAATCTAACAGTTTAGCTTTTTGAATTGATATGGTTATTTAATATAGCATTTGATTTTTAATAATTGGGTTAAAATCTCTTCACGGACCTTGTAGTTTCAAGGTGAGAAATAATATAAAACAATTTAAAAATATTCCAATAACCTCAACCAACAGCTTAATAGTCATAATCTCTTGATATAGCATTGTTGTCTCATTCATTCATTTATTTGACGGGTTTAATGTGAAAGAAAAGTTGATCACATGCATGATGGTCCATACATATCCAGGTGGTTGTAATTCGTTGCTCCAGACAGATTTTAGAAAACGATGCTTAATTGACTCATCTGAAGGTGTAATTCGTCAAAGTGGGGTAGCAGTGTGTACACGAGAAAAAAAAGCGATTTAAAAAAGGACGATCTCTAGCAATTGTAGAGAGATGAGATCTTTCATTAACAGAGTCTGATGGTACAATCCATTTCTCTATTGATTTATGGTGATTTAAGACTTTTCTTTGTGCTGTGATGCAGCAACAGTTCTATTTTAAGAAGGCTGGGTAGAAAAGATGAGAAGTTTCCATTAGATGTCAACGAGAAGGCTCGTACTTATTAGATGTTTTGTTTAATCTATTTTTATTTATTAAGTTGTAATTTTCATAGTCTATGGTTATTGGAAATACCGATGTATGTTTGGATTAAGGAAAAAAAACGACAGCATAGGGGAAATCTAAAAATAAAAAATAAAAAATTAGAAGAAAATAAAAAAAGAATTTATGATGGATTAAACAGTTTTGAAAAAAGTGGATACAGATAAGGAAAATAAGAATAAAAGGAAAATATGAAATGACGGGAAAATAGGAAAAAAAATCGAGGAAGGAGAGTTTGATATATATATATATATATATTAAATGGAGAAAGGAGTAAATTGGTCATTGAAATTATGAAACAATAAAGATATTCTTGCTGAATCAAATATTTCGATAAATATTGGTGTATTTATATATCAATTATGGATAAATATGGATAAATCTCCTCCAACAATCTTACACGTCCCTTTTATTAGTTTAGTAGTTCGGTACAAAGAAAATGAATTCTGTTGGAAGCTTCTACAAGTTTCATAATCAGGAAGCCTTGCCCTTACGGAAAGGATGACAGACTTGATTGTCTAAGTCAAAAAAATCATTTCAACTAAAAATATTAAATTATTAAATATGATTTAAAATAAAAATTTATATTATTTTTTAATACTTTATTTAAAATAATTTTTTTAAAAATTTAATGTGTTTAATTAAGTGAAAGAATTATTTAATTAAAAAAAAGAGACTAATAAGATTCAAACCCACAACTGTTTTTTGTCATTAAAATTTATTACACGAGATTTTTAAAATATATGAAAAAATAAAACTTATTTTATTTCTTAACCCAATCTCAAATATAGTGCAATGAGTCTTCTTACGTCAAACAAGAACGCTCCACTGCCTACTTGCAATAGACACGTGTACGTACAGAATAAATAGATTTATTTAAGCAGCAATGATACCCTTTTCATTGAGTAAATTATAAATTAGTATCTCTATTCTCTAGTTTTGAAAAATAAATAAATAAATTATTTTTATTTTATGTTGTCATTTAACTATATTTATCGAGCTTAATTTAAAATTGTTTTATTTCAAAAAATAATTAATTTTTTATGTAGTCATTTAACAGTATTTATCAGGCTTAATTTAACATTATTTAATTTCAAAAAAAAAATTTTCTTATTATTTTTTTATAATATATATTTTTTATTTTTAAAAATAAAAAAATTAGAAAAGAGTGTAAAATGTATAAAAAATATAATAATTAGTTTTTAAAACATGAGGGGCTAATTAATTTGTTTTTCAAAACTAGATAGAGTAATTTATAATTTATTTCATTTTTATCACAAGTTAATTGTAAATTAAATCATTTTTTATTCTGATCGTAAATCAAAATTTGTTGTTTAATACAACTAGTCAATTAGTTTTTGCAGTCTTAAAAATTAAAAATAATATATTTAATTTCTACATTCTTCAATCTATTGATTTAATCCTTTCATTAATTTCATGTTCTATTATTTATGAGTCGTTTCATTTTTTCTAGTTATTTTTTTTTAATTTTAAAAATAGAATAAAGAAAAGAGAAGTAGTTAAGCTGAAAATTTGATTAGGAAAGAGGACCTTTTTAGAAGGAATTTTTTTTCAGTAAATTGAGAATATTCCTTACTTGTCAAGAAAGTATTTAATTATTACTTATATTACAAGGACTAAATAGTTAGTGTCAGCAAACTCTAGCGACTAAGTTCTAATAAACTCTTATTATGACGATAGAAAAGTATGTCTGGTCAGTATCAAATTTCTAACGTCACCTCACCACCTCAATGACTCAATAATACTCACGCACGCACGCCCACGTCACCAGTCCACTTTTTGCTCCACTCCTATAAATTCATGGCTTTAGGTCTCCATTTCTCTCAGGCAACCAATTAGCCAACTTCCCTAATAAATTCCCAAAAATCTATCTCTTCTTGACTATAACTAAACAATGTCAATGCCACTGAGTCACCAGTCATTATACCCATCAAGAACTTCCTTGCTATTGCCCAAACCATGCAATTGTGGCAATAGCCATGTAACTTTTCCTGTCCGTTCCAGGTCTTCATTCACTAAAACAAACAGAAATGGATGGGTTGGCTGTAAACCTAGCAACATTAAGGCCATACCAACTGAAACCTCAGTGCTGGCTACTAATGTAAAGGCTACTGTGACTGTACTGGATCAAAGGGTTGATGGTGCAGACATTTTACCTGAAACACTTAGCTTGGAGCTCGTTTTTTCCAAGCTTGATCCCAGTAAGTTGTAGTTTGCACAAAATTCAGCATGACCTAATTTATTAAACAGATTAATTAATTACTTTTTTAATTTATTAAACAAATTATATATTGTTGCTGAAACAGTTAAAATTCACTGTAAAGATTTCAGTATTGGCACAAGACACTGTATTTAAAACTTTCTAAAGTTTTAGTGACCAGTTTAGTACGACATGCAAGTGTTGTGTGTGTGTATAAAGAATTAATAGAGATTTTTAAATGTACATAAAACATCTTACTAAGTTTTCTTCTGTAAATTTCCAGAAACGAACGAAGAGCGGTCCTTCAAGGCACAGCTGGAACGAAAAGTGAATGGTGTCCTGTATGAAGCAGACATTGATGAGGTTTCGCTTGGTTATGGAGAAGTGGGTGCAGTTTATGTTACCAACGACGACGATAACAAGATTTTTGTCAAGAAAATTGCCCTTGAAGGCCAGTTTATACTGACTTGCAAGTCATGGGTTGAAAATAAGCAGAAAAGGCTCTTCTTCACCAATAAGGTAGGCTATTTCTTACTAGATTATCAATTTTTTTTTTTACTGGCTAGCTTTTAATGCAATATGAATTGACCCTTTCATTAAAAAAAAAAAACAAATTAATGCAAAGAATCAAAGATTAAAGAATATATGGATAAGTAGAAAAATGCCCCCAGCTCTTCTAGGGGAAAAGGGTTAGAAAAATAGCTCAAAAATTGAGTCAAAAGTCCAAACCCATAAAAAGAACCAAAATCAGTTTCTATACCTGATGAGAAGAAAAAAACATAAAACGAAAAAAAAAAAAAAAAATTATTAGAGAAAAAACAAGCAAACAAATTTTTCTGTATATATAAAAAATGGGTGTGTATGGAGCTAGAGAGCAACAAAGAGAGGGGAAAAAAGTAGTTTTAAACACAAACAGATTTTGAAAAGCTCATCTCTCTCCTTTGTGCACTAGATATGAACTACAATTTGGCTTGATCTACCTTAAAGATGCTGGATTTGATCTCAATTGATGAAAAATTGGAAAATACTCCTCTCTCATATTTTAGGAAAATAAACAATTTCTCACAACCATTTATCTTAAATCTTTTGATAAAAAGAAGTATCAAACTCGAAAAATCTTTAAAAAAGGGATATCGGTGCCAATCAAGATTCAAGCTCATTGGCCGCCTTTCGACATGAATTTTTGTTTCGAATTCGTAACTCTTCTATGTAATAATAATAATAAAAAACATTAGTCTGTTGTAGAATAAGTAGGGTCAATATCATAAAAGTTTATATGTTGATAAGAAATGTGTTTTTGGCCAGTGGGGTCAGCTCCCCACTGCTTCAATGCTGGATCCGCCCCACCCTATTTGACCTTCATCCCAAGATACAAGCATATGGCTATGGCAGTTTTGTATTAATTTGTGGACCCATATATAGTGTTTAAGATGTTGTTGAAGTACAAGATGTTAGAGACGGGGTATCTTTCCTTATGGCATATGTCTAATAACTGACTAGGAGATACTTGTTAATTTGTTTGTCTCGATCGAAGACACTGGTTCAGTGTAAAATGTTGTCGTGTTACAGCTATTTCTTTGTCATTTATAAATTTTAAGGTTCTAAATTTGCGTGTACTGTGGAGCAGTCAACATACTTGCCCTCGCAGACACCAAGTGGATTGAGAAGGCTAAGAAAAGAAGAGCTTGTAAGTTTGCGAGGCGATGGCAAAGGAGAGCGCAAGCAAGGTGACAGGATATATGACTACGACGTGTACAATGATCTGGATGTTCCGAACACTAGCCCTGATTCGATACCGAGACCGGTTCTAGGCGGAAAGGAACACCCTTATCCTAGGCGTTGCCGAACAGGGCGGCTACCAACCCAGAAAGGTAAAACTGTGAAAAAACATGGCTTGATAGTGTATGAGATGGAAAATCAAGTGCTTATATATATATATATATATATATATATATATATTCATGTTCATTATAGTATTTAGCAGTTGCTCCATTAGTCTGGCCAAAAACATTTATACACACACACATATTAGTGAATGTGTGTGCAGTATATGTATATATGGGTATACTAGCTAATTATTATGAAATAACTTCTGTTGATAGATCCAACTAAGGAGACAAGGAGCGAGTATATCTATGTGCCCCGAGATGAAGAATTCTCTGACACAAAGCAGAAATCATTTGACGGCAAGAAAACTGTGGAATTTTTCCATTAAGGGATAGCAGCGGTAAAAGCTGGGTTAAGTACTATTGAGGATGGATTCGGAAACTTCGCAGCCATAGATGTACTCTTCAATGAAGGAATCAAATTCAAAGAAAAGAAATCAGGCTTCATTATTGACTCTGTGAAGGACTTCCTGAAGGAGCTTTTTGGTCGAGCTAGAAACAAGTTGCTACGGTTTCCGATTCCTGAAGTAATGAGGAGTAAGAATGAAAAACGCTCTTTAAGATTAATTTTACTATCCTTTTCGACCCTATCCATTGATTCATTTAGGAGACAGCTGTGTATTACATTTAGGAGTTTGTCATATAAGCAGAATTTATGAAAATATACTCAATAAGATAGTGTTATATATTAAAGGCCCCCTTTCATTGTGGTCTGTGTGTTTTCATTCCAGGAGACAGATTTTCTTGGTTTAGGGACGAGGAATTTGCTCGGCAGACTCTTGCTGGTGTAAATCCATCCTGTATACAATTGGTCACGGTATGATATTTAGACCCTTAGCTTCAAAGTTTAGTTGTCTTGCAACGATTGCATTGGGAACCATCAGGTTGATTCTTTTCTCTTAGCTTCAAATGTTAATGAAAAATCGAAAGTATGCAAAACCCAAGACAAGCCAGGGCCATACGTTAGTCAGCATGAACAAAGAGACATGCTACATGTAGAAAACCCCAGTTGATGACTAATCTAAAACATAGCAGTACACCACCAGTTGACAAGACAAGTTATAGTGCAAAAAACATGCTAACATAAAACCAAATGTAGAATAAAGTGTTGTTTGATTTTTTTTTTTTTTTAGATCAGCAACGAAGAGAAAGAAAACAGAACCCTACATAAGATACTACTTTTTTATTGCAAGAACGAGTTTGGTAATATCTTGCCCCAATGCTGGATAAACTCATGCAGGAATGGCCACTGAGAAGTAAACTTGATCCTAACATCTACGGTCGGCAGGAGTCAGCAATAACAGCAAATATAATTAAGGAAGATATCAAAGGTTTTGAGACAGTTGAGGAGGTAGCCAGGAACCCATTTTCATCAACAAGAAATAAAAACCATCATTATGATCAGTAATTAATTGTTGAATATTGATGATATGATTTATGTAGGCTATAGAACGAAAGAAGCTGTTCATCCTTGATTACCATGATTTACTTTTACCATTTGTGAGACAAGTAAGAGAGCTTGGAAACAGAACTTTACATGGTTCGCGGACATTGTTCTTCCTAACCCCACAAGGGACGTTGAAGCCGCTTGCCATTGAGCTCACTCGTCCACCGATGGATGGAAAGCCACAGTGGAAGCAAGTGTTTACACCAACCGGGAATGCCACAGGTGTCTGGCTTTGGAAGCTTGCTAAAGCTAACGTCCTTGCACATGATTCTGCCTATCACCAACTTATTACTCACTGGTGTGTATTTTCTTCGCTCTTATTTCCAGTTACAAGTTTACAATGTCCTTCTGTGCATATATTTATTTAATGCTTAGGAGCTGTCACAAGTTTCAAGAAAAATCAACTTCTGTTGAATTATTTTGATAGTTGAGATTTATTTAATTTTATTCAAAAAAAATTAAATTTATATTTATTCAGTGTGAGATATATTTATTAACATCATCATTCACTTGCAGTTTATATTTTAGGATCTGTCAAGTAGTTTGGATTTCAAAATTTTTATTGGATTGTTAAGTCTTTTTTTAATTATATTGTTATATTATATTAAATTAGATAGTCGCGATTGAATTTTATTCAAAAAACTTAAAACTTGCAGTCGGTGTTCCATTCAATATTTTTTATATTAGTTTATTTATTTAACTTCGAATATGTTCAGTAACATGGAAAAAGACTCACCCATCTCTCTTGAAATAATGCTTCACGCTAATGAAGGTGTTGAGTGAAGTCCTAATAGCTGATTTATATTATTTTCTAACATAATTCCTCAAGTGAAAGCCGTTTGGGCATGAAATTTGTACATGTCCACACTATCATATGCTTAATTAATTAGAAAAGAAAGTGTTGATAGTAGGATTTGAATTACGACCGTTTGGTCATGAAGGTTATGATACCATGTCAAATGATTATCTTACCCAAAAGTTTAAACTATTAGATGAAGCCCCAAGATCTGATTTATATCATTTTCTAACATAGCTTCCCCTCGTTTTGTTGTATTTTTTGCAGGCTAAGAACTCATTGTGCCACAGAGCCATACATAATTGCAGCAAATCGCCAACTCAGCGCCATGCATCCAATATATAGACTCCTGCATCCTCACTTTCGATACACAATGAAGATCAATGCTGAAGCTAGAAATTTTCTCATCAATGCTGACGGAATAATTGAGACGACATTCGCACTTGGCAAGTATTCTATGGAGCTAAGCTCTGTTATCTACGATAAGCATTGGAGGTTTGACCATGAGGGACTGCCCAAGGATTTAATTATCAGGTAGCAACATTGACTACCCTCTTGACATCAACTTATAATCTTCATTTCTTCAAATTTAACATGAAGGCAGTAACAAGATATATCTTCTTTTTCTGTTTATATTTATGAGTAATAAATCTTCTGGTTTTGCTAATTGACAGAGGAATGGCCGTTGAAGATCCATCTTCTCCCCATGGTCTGAAACTAGCAATCGAAGATTACCCTTATGCCAATGATAGTCTTGAGTTATGGGCCATCATCAAACAATGGGTCAGCGACTATGTCAATCACTACTATCCAGAAGCAAGTCTCATTGAGTCTGATTCTGAGCTCCTAGCATGGTGGGAAGAAGTACGTACTGTAGGCCATGGTGACAAAAAGGATGAACAAGGGTGGCCTGAGCTAAAAACACCGCAGGACCTTATCGAAATCATCACAACTATTGTATGGGTTGCCTCGGGTCACCATGCTGCTGTGAACTTTGGACAATATGCTTATGCAGGGTATGTCCCAAATAGGCCTACAATTACTAGACGAAACATGCCAAATGAAGACAAAAAAGATAAGGATTGGAAATTGTTTTTGGAAAAACCTGAAGAAATACTTTTGAAAACCTTCCCTTCACAACTTCAGGCATTAAAAGTGATGTCTACGTTGAGTGTCTTATCTGAACACTCTCCTGATGAGGAGTATCTAGGTAAAAAAATAGAGCCAGTTTGGGCTGAGGATCCTGTTATAACTAGCGCTTTCGATAAATTTCATGGTAGTTTAAACAAGCTTGAAAGCACTATAGCTACAAGGAATGCTGACGAGAATTTGTTTAACAGACATGGAGCTGGTGTTATGCCTTATGAGTTATTGATACCATTCTCCGGAAAAGGGATTACAGGGACAGGAGTCCCCTATAGCATCTCCATTTGAAGAAGTTTTAGAAGTTGAAAAACTTGATGTGATGTAAAATACTATAGTAGGACAAGATATTTGTTTCATGTTAAAGCCCAGCAACGTGCCAGTTAAAGGTTTTTGTTTGTTGTTTTTCTGCTAGGCAACCAAGAGTTTTGCCAACTGCTACTAGGTAGCTAGTCCAGTTCTTGGTCTCGTATAATAAGTTAGGTAGTTTTTTCTCCTTTCTCAATAATATGCTTCTGTTCATGAAAACGAAAGAAGAAACTTAGCAGTGTAAAGCTTCCATTGTCTCCTGTATATTATCGGTTCTTTCCATTCCCGATCGAGTCCAAAAAACGAAGAAAAATTCAATTGGATTTCTAAAACTTCACGCATTTTTCAATTGGATCCTTCTATTTGATAAGTTGTAGAGAAGGGAGATATGGCAGTAGTATTCACTCTCTTTTATTGATTGAGATATATATATATATACACATACACACACAAGTTCCCTATAATATCTCCTACTATCACGTTTATTCATTACATACATATCTTCTATATTTAGCAGGTGATATGCTAAAGGAAACAGAATATGAATAATATCAGAATGTACACAATATCTTTAATTCTGTTGACCGAATGTCTCTAACATCCCCCCTTAAAATGGAGCTCCGTAAGGAGAGGGCGATCTTGTCACATAGATAAAGGAAGCGGGTGCATGACAGAGGCTTAGTGAGGGCATCTGCTAGTTAATCAGCCGAAGAGATGTGAGCAACCCGAAGTGTGCCACGCTGAACTTGGTCACGAAGGCAGTGAAGTCAATTGCAACATTTTTCATACGAGAATGGAACACGGGATTGGAGCATAGCTGTGTTGCTCCTACATTATCGCCATAGATGAATGGTGACTTTGGCAAGGGCACATGAAGTTCAGTTAACAAGGAGCACACCCAAATGAGTTCAGTTGTTGTGGCAGCGACAGAACGATATTCAGCCTCTGTTGAAGATCGAGGAATTGTGCGTTGTTTCTTGGAGCTCCAGGAGATGGGACTATTGCCAAAGTATATAATGAAAGCACTTGTTGAGGAGAAGTCATCCTTGTTGCCAGCCTAGTCTGCATCAGAATATGCATGAAGTGACAGATGGGCATTTTGATAGAGAGTGATCCTGCAGTCCAAAGTGCCACAAAGGTAGTGTAGAAGCCTTTTAACAGTAGACCAATAAGCGATTGTGGGGCGATGCACGTATTGTGATAGCTTGTTCACCACGAAGGCAAGATCAAGGTTAGTAAGAGATAGATACTGTAAGCCACCCACTATTGTTTTATACTCTGTAGGATCATCAAGAGCAGTACCTTCATGTAAACTTAATGGAGCATCAGGATTGAGTGGAGTGAGGATGGGATTACTGCCTGCCATTTTGGTGCGAACTAAAAGGTCTTATATATACTTGCGTTGAGAGAGGAGAATACCATTGGGCTGAGAAATGACCTCTACACCAAGAAAGTATGTTAAGGGGCCAAGATCTTTAATGGACAACCGATGTGCAATAGAGGAGATAACTTGATTCACCATTGAAATATTGTTGCCAGTGACAATAATGTCATCGATATAAACTAATAAATAGATACAACACCGAGTAGAATAGAGCACAAAGAGTGAGATGTCCGTGTGAGAATTGCAAAAACGAAGGTAAAGAAGGAAAGTGCAAAGTTGAGTGTACCAGGCACGAGGAGCTTGCGTAAGTCCATAAATGGCTTTATGAAGTTTACAGACATATGATGGATGGTTAAGATCAATGAACCCTTATGGTTGAGCCATAAATAGTTCATCAGCAAGGTGGCCTTGTAAAAAGGCACCATTGACATCAAGTTGACGTAGAGACCAGTCATGACCGATAGAAATGCTTAGCACTAGCTGAATGGTTGTGGGCTTGACCACTGGGCTGAAGGTGTCATGATAATCAATACTAAGACATTGATGAAATACTTTAGCAATAAGATGAGCTTTGTACTTGTCAAGAGAGCCATCAGAATGCCTCTTAATGTAAAAAAATCCATTTGCAACTCACAATGTTGGCTGCGGGAATAAGAGCAACTAGCTACCAGGTTCCATTACAAACTAGAGCATCGAATTCCTCAGACTTGGCCTGACACCACTTGGGGTCTTTAAGAGCTTGAGAGGTTGTGCTTGTTTACTAATGACAGGGGATGAACGTTAGGTAGTGAGGTTTAGTTTTTGAATTGGTTTGGAAATACGATTTTTGGCTCTAGTGATCATTGGGTGAGAATTAGTAGTCGGTGAAATAGATGGGGCTGCTAAGGGTGATGGATTAGGAGAGGTGTCATATGGTGGGTGAGGCAAGGTGGAAGGAGGTGTTTGTGCATCGACAAGAGAAGGCAATGGGGGAGGCAAAATAATAGACAAATGGGGAGTTGATCGTGGTGTGGCAGTAGATGATGAAGAGGAACTAGTGGTCAATGATGACAAAGTTACAGGAGTGGATGATGAGCTGGTCGTGTCGATGAGATACTGAAGTGTAGGTGTGTTGACAGGTGAGGACAATGAGGCAGGCAGAGTTATGGACAAAATGGGAGCTGATCATGAGGAAAGAGGAGTAGGAAGTCTATTAGAGATCTATGTAGAGACAGGTATGGATTCAAATAGTGGTAAATTGGGTGCCATAGACGCAAGGGGAAAAACAGACTCTACAAACTATATATGACGTGAAACATAGACCTTAGATAATGATGTGTCATAATAGTAATAGGCACTTTGGGTGAGAGAGTACCTAAAAAAGGCATAAGGTTTAGATGGAGGTTCTAGTTTATGGGAAGAATATGGATGAAGCCGAGGAGTGGGAAGTATATTGGAGATCTATGTAGAGACAGGCATGGATTCAAATAGTGGTAAATTGGGTGCCATAGACGTAAGGGGAAAAACAGACTCTACAAAATATATATGACGTGAAACATAGACCTTAGATAATGATGTGTCATAATAGTAATAGGCACTTTGGGTGAGAGAGTACCTGAAAAAGGCATAAGGTTTAGATCTAGGTTCTAGTTTGTGGGAAGAATATGGATGAAGCCAAGGATAACACAAGCAATTGAAGATTTTCAGTTTTGAATAGCTAGGGGAATATCCAAAAATACGTTCATAAGGGGAGCAAAGATTTAATGTTGGTGTAGGCATCCTATTAATAAGGTACACAACAATGTTGAATGTATGTGGCTAAAAAATTAATAGGACTGATGCATGAGACATAAGAGTAAGAGCGGTTTCAATAATATGACGATGATGACGTTCTGAAATACCGTTGTGTTCTGGGGTACGTGGAGGACTGGTGAAATGGAAGATACCATTATTTGCTATATATGAAGTTAGGCTTAGAAATTTACCACCATTGTCAGAATATAGTTTGACAATTTTATGAGAGAAGTAGTTTTCAATAATACTTTTGAATCGAACAAACACATCATGCATATCAGATGTTCTTTTAATGGGGTAAAGCCAGATATACTTAGTAAAATGATCAACAAAAATTACGTAGTATTTAAAACCATTATGAGAGTAAACAGGAGATGTCCAAACATCAGTAAAAATTATGTTAAGAGGATTGTTGGAAACTAAAGTCCTTGTGGAAAAAGGTAATCTGTGACTTTTATTACAGTAATAAGCATTGCACGAAAAATTTACAGAAAGAGAAGAGGACATGCTCAACTTATGATTTGTCATAATGCGCTTTTAAATCGGAAGAGTAGAATGACCCAACTGATAATGCCATGTAGACGAGGTGGTGGTGACACTGGAAAATGGAAGTAAAGGTGATTTAAAGGATGTGGAAGATGGCCACTCAGACACTCCATCCTTCGCTTTGCCCGTCACGATGATTGCCCCAATGTGAAGATCCTTAACATGAAAACAAGTAGATAAGAATTCAATAGAGACATTATTGGTAAGATAAAGTTGAAAGATAGAAATAAGGTTCTTTTTCATATTTGGAACATAGAGAATATTAGATAATTTGAATGTAAAGGCAGGTGTAGTAAGAGAAATAGAACCAGTGTGAGCGATTGGTAACCATATGCCATCCCTAATCATAACATCATCAGTGCCATTGTAAGGAGTATGGAGAGATAGATTACTTAAGTCATCAATGATGTGGTGAGATACACCATTGTCCATAAGTTGAACGAGAGTGGTGGAGTGCTTGTTAGCTACACAATATGCTCGTGGTTTCCAATAAGACTACAATATAGGAGCTGATGGGTTAATTGTTTCAAACCGAAAGGAGATGTAGGGTTTGATAGAGTGACCTTGAATAGCGTATAATTGATAGTAGCCTAAATATGGGCGTGGTGGTGGACGTTCACCATGGTTGTTGCTTGTAGTAGGCTTGGAATTGGATCACCAAGGTATAATGGCTGGTGAATGCCACCTGTTGGAGTTAATGAATTCTGTGATGAAGGAGTTAAAGAGCACCATTTAGAATGGATAGAACCGTTGTTGTGACACTGAGCAGGATTAGCAGATGCTAGAAGATAAGTTGAGTCAGGTTGTTACTCTTGTACATGGGCCTCAAAAGTAAGCAATTTTTTGTGAAGTTCATTAGAGGAGATTGAGGAGCCACGGGCTTGAACAACATTAATAATGTCCTTGTATTCGTTACCACGGCTGTCTAAAATCCTTTCAGTGAGATCATCATCATCCATAGGAGCACCAAGGAGGGCAAGTTCTTCAGCTTTGCATTTTACAGACTGTAGGAAGTTAGTAATGCTCTGGGAACCTCTGGTAAGATTTTTTAAGGTGGGTTTTAATTTGCTTGATATGTCCATGGGAAGGTTTGGCATAGGTGGAAGCAAGGATCATTCATGCATCACGAGAGGTGGCGGCTTATGCAATAATGGGAATGATTGTGGGAGAAAGAGATCCTATTACGGCATTAAGAATAAGTTGATCTTGACGAATCCAAAATATATATTCTCGATTTGGTTCATCAGATTTGTTTGTGGTAATACGCGGAGCTGGATAT